TACTTTGGAGAACCAACTTCTGTTCCAATTGCAGATGGAAATCTGGCTCAACGTCTACCGGCTGAAATTTGGACTATTCTTCTTCTTGCCAATTGGAACTAGGTATGGACTTTGACTTAGCTGTTCTGAGACTCGATGTAAAACCACTGGCTGTATATTATATTATTAGTATATTATCATCTTTTAGCCTTGCGATGGCTAAAAGATGCAAAAGAGCCATTTGATTGAGGTGTGTTGGAGAAGGGAGGCATCTATAACAGGGGCAGGATTCGATTTTTATCATCTCTGATCTATGCTGCTGCTAAGATGCAAACAAGTGGACCTTTCACCGCTTTCCTGGCTTTGACTTCAGGATATTAGAGTAAAAAACTCTGAAATGAATGACTCAGTTTTCAGATTTGCAAAGAAAAACCATAAAACAAAACAAACTATTTTCACTCCTCTGTATAATCACACAACATTTGTGCTGTCTATTCACAAAATCCAAGTAAAACACTTCAAAATTTGTGGTTGAAACTCAACAAAATGTGAAAAAAAATTAAAAGAATGAATACTTTTGCATGACATTTCAGCACACCTTTCAATACAGACTTTTACAGAAACAACAGCTTGAAAGGAAAGGAGCCCAAGGAAACAACAACTTATTAATCATCGTTTAATCCGACCGGACTCTACGGCCACACACACTCCAACGACAAAACGGAGCAATGTCCTGGACTCAGAAGGTTGCAGGTACGATGTCCACTTCTTCTAGTCACATGTCATTGTGCTCCTGTGCAAACTACATATTCAGTCCATTTACAGATTACACTAAGAAGTTAAAACCTGAAGTCATCGCTTGGGCATTTTATGAACGTCTTGACGGTCAGGATTTAAAGTGAACATCCAAAAAGGAAGGAAAGAAGGAAGAGGAAAAAGGGAAATGGAGGGAATCTTGCTTCCCGTCTGTCTGCCATCGCCATAACAACAAACCTGCTCCCCCCCTTTACTTGGAAAAAGTGACATTTCACTTTGCCCTGGTTGCTGCTCCCTGCAGGGAGGCTCTGATCCAGCCTCTCCATGAATGTGTGTGTGTGTGTGTGTGTGTGTGTGTGAGTTTGTGTCCTCATTAAAAGGAAGATAGCGACTGAGGGGGGAGTGGCCCCGATCACACACACACCTTGTCAAACAAGACCTCTGCTGTGGCTGCATTAGACTGGTGATACCAGAGGAAGGAGAAAGTTCGTTCCTACAGGAGGTTCACACACACCAACCCAAACTGTAACGTCAAGAATACTTCATATGTTACATGAAAATATTCTATAAGTCAATTCATTACACGTGTTTGTGTTTGCCTGCTTTTCTCTTTTTTTTATTTTTGTGTATGTAATGAAAGTACCACTGCGTGTTTTGTATACATACATACTTATAGGTGCAATAAGGTTTAACGCTAATAGAAGTAACAGTTTAATGCTCAAAACCTAATTTGGGAGATATAAAACATAAAGAAGCATTTCATTTTCCAAAAGGAGAGAGAATTTATGATCCTTATGAGCGATAAAGAAACAACAGCAAACATGAAATCTTTACAAAAAGGCTAAGCAAAATATAAATATATATATATATATATATATATATATATATATATATATATATATATTT